CGTTGCCACAGCGTCCCTTGCGCAGGCCTTCAGGTGTTGAAAGTCATTGATCTTAACCCGGTAGACAATCTTCTTCACATAACCCCACAAGAAAAAAATCCACTGAGGTTAAATCTGGCGACCTAGGAGGCCAAGCAATTGGTCCCCATCGGCCAATTCATATTCCAGCCATCTCTCTGTCCGGGTGATTCCTAACATGGTGGCAAAAATGTGGCGGCGCATGCGCGTAAGGCGGGTACGAAAAAAATCTTTCAGTTTTCCTTTCTGATGACATAAACCGGATACGTGTATGACAATTAGTTTCCGATATATATATATATATATATACGTATATATTTCATTTTGGACACCTTTCATCCGGACACTATATAAAAGTGAAAGTTTCATGATGGAACTGATTCCAGGTAGGTTTATATCATTGCATTTATACCTTGTTTTGAGGTTAGGGTACCTTCTGTTTAGGGTAGCTAGGCCCTCATCTGTAGATGTCCCTCTAATTTATTCCCTGTCAAATGCTGACCAAGTGCGGGAATTGAAGCAAGAGAAAATACAACATAACGCTGAAATACACTCAGTAAACTGACTGATTACTGAGCCGGAAGTGGGAATTGTTTCTCTTCGCAATCATATCCACACTGACTCTAGTTTCTACGAAGCTTTCGTGGATAAAGTGGCCTAATCGTGAAGGTTCTATCACCTCGAGATCATAACACATGAATATTTACTTCTGCCTTCGGGACGCGGTGCTTATGGGTACAGACAATTTTACATTTCTTTTCACATCACGAATTTCAATATCGCGATTCTGAACACCCTATAACTGAACCACTTCCCAACACAACAAAAAGCTATGAGCTTCAAGTAGGTGGGAAGGTTAGCCAGATCAAGCACCTGCCACGCCATACACAGGATGGGGGTCTTTGTTGTTGTAGCTATCCCTTTAAATGTGGGTATGAAAACATCGCACAGTACAAAGCGTACACCCTCCAAACGTTTCTTCCTTTTCCACTACTTGGACCAAAGTAAACAAGCAACAAATTAGTATACAGGAAACGGATGCAGTTTCTCCTTCATCTGCTTTCCTGAGTCACGCTCTGACAAACATTCAAACACTTGTACCAGCTTAGCAGCACGAGAAAGCGTTGCACCAAATTTGTCCATCTGTCGTGCTCCAAGGACTCTGAAACGGTCACTGCTGTACCATCTATGTCGCTTCCCGTTATCTGATTTACTGCTATGAAACACGCTTGGCAGACATTCTTCTTAAATTTAATAACGGAATATGGATGCATTGTCTTGCTGGAAATGAATGAGGCCATAAAGGAAGAATCGTGGGAGTAAACAGAAGAAAGAGTTCATGATCACCTCTGCTGATACCTGGGGATGCTACAGGAAACAGTCGTTAAAAAGAAAGACGACATTTTCAACACACAATTAAAACTGATAAATCTTATGATTAAATAAGAAGGAATGAAGTAGAATTAGTATAATTCCTTCAGGAAGTCCTGTTCAATTCAGGAAACTGAATATACCAAGCGACTCGGAAATAGACTTTACAGAGTGTCCCTAAAAATATGCACACTACGGAGGTTAACAACATATGAAAACAACAGAGGTTGTGCAATGGTATTTTGAAGTGATGTAAGCTGACAGGTGAAAGAAGCGCGCGTCACTTAGTACTAGCCCACCCTGCTAGATGGCAATATCCAGCGTAAAACAAAATGGCGGAACCGCGATTAACATCTGAGTAATGTAAGCGGATCCTTAAATGCAACTGGAAAATGAAGAATGTGACACGTGCAAAGATTGAGGAGAAATTAATTGAACATCACCACCCACACCTGTAACAATTATCAGGTTGCGTGATATATGAGGCAGATGGAATAGTGCAAAACGTAACGAAGAGACGTACATTTGAATACAATACGGCTGTCTGCGTTTGTTTGTTTGTTTGTTTCGTTAATATTAAAAGTTCCAACTACTGCGTTTACTTTGATAACTTTTCTTGCATAATAAGCGAAAGCTGACAGTAAAAAGTGATCGATTTTATCAGTTTCATCGACTGCTGAGTTCTAGAATAAATATATTTTTACCTTCATGCCCCACAAATCCTTTCAAGGCCTGTTATTTGACCACAGGCGAAACTTTATCTTTGAACTGTAGGAAATAAATGCTTTTATACCTGCTGAATCTAACTGTAAAACGTAAGTCTTTTGTTTGATTTAACGTAAACGGATTTAGAGTAGGTCTAAACCGTTACCGGCAGCAGAAATAGCTTGCCGCTTATTAGGAACGTTTTGTCAGCTACTAACTTAATGCAGAATCGGTTACATTTATCGTGATGATTGACGAAATGGAGGAATTTATAGCATGCAGGAAAAAAGAAATGAAACAGAGAAGAAACTGCACGAAACAAAAATTTAAATTTCAAGTACTAGGTTTCATTAAGCGCAGTCGGTATAGCGACTGTCTACGGGCTGGACGACCGAGGGGTCGGAATTTTCTCTTCTCCACATCGTCCAGACCGGTTCTGGGGTCCACCCAGCCTCCTATCCAGTGGGTACTGGGGGCTCTTTCTTAGGGGGCAGAGCGGCAGGGAAGTGAAGCTGACCACTCCAGCTAGTGCCGTGGTCAAGAAAATGTGGATTTATATATTCACTCCTCCATATGCCTTCATGTCCTAGTGCTTAATTCGTTCAGCACAGGCAGAGGTTTACTTTCACCTTTACATTATATACAAGTATACAACACGAGACAGAAAGACGAACGAACACGAATCCACGATCCCAGTGCTCGAACCTAGCGACAACTCAGATCAAATTCGAAGTCAGAGCCTCGTTTAATATAAAAACTCCCCTGCGTAATATTCTCCAATTCGTTTCCCGCTGTAATTTTCCTCATGTTTCTCTTCCTGTTGACGTTACTGCGTTGGCAAGAAATAAAGAGGCAGCAAAATACGTCAGCAGCCATGACACTCTTCAAAGCCCCTATTGTAAACAAATAACGGCGAGGAGTTAAGCCGAGCCCCTATGTCACGACATTTGGATGCTCCGTGCTCTTCGTCAGGGAGTTCCATAAAGGAGTTTAATTACATTGTTTAGGATGCATATATTATGTGGCAGTTTTATCACCTTCAGTGTGTTTTACTGTTTGGCAGTACAAAGATGTACACCTCACTGTATTAAGTCTTTTCAGATACCGCTTAGCATGCCTAAATATATGGACAGGCCATATCACGATGTACCTACAGGATGATAATATAACAAATGTTTTATGTCCTTTTAGCTTCACTCGGTAGAGATGAGAAAATCAAGGTGAGCTGTTTATCATTTGCATTGTTTAAAGACAGATCTAACAGAAGTTTGTTTTATTCCAAGGATTCTTTTTAATCAAAAGCATCCATTAGAATTAGTGGAAATGAAGTAGAAAACCAGTTTCCGAATAGGTTCTTCACTATGTTGAGTATATCATTTGAAATAATGTACAGTGTATTGAGAATGGTAAAGAACTCGGTTATTGCAAAGGCCATCTCACTACGAGTATAGATACAGCAATGTAAGTAAGGAAATTCAAATGGATCAAGCACATATTTTTAAACAGTTAACTCTTCGGACTTCAGAAACTGCTGTTGTGAGCCTCTTTGGATGTGCTGTCCGGGGGGTGGGTGTCTCTTTCAACTTACACGCAAGTCTTGTAACTGCCCCGGTCTCCAAGAAGGCAAAATCGAAACCTAGAAAGTAAGATACAATTGTCCCTGTGCTTAACTAATTAAGCACTACGCCATGAAGGTGTATGGGGGAGTAGATGTATAGATCCACGTTTTCTTGACCTCGGCACTAGTTGGAGGTGAGTGGTCAGCTTCACGACCAGGCCGCTTTACCCTTTGGGAAAGAGCCCCCGGTACCCATAGGATAGGAGGTTGGGTGGACCCCAGAGCCGGTTTGAACGACTTGGAGAAGAGAAAACTCTTGACCCTACCGGGACAAGAACTCCAACCCCTCGGTCGTTCAGCCCGTAATCAGTCGCTATACTGACTACGCTATCCCGGCTCTGTTTATCTATAAAGGTTACCTAACTGATATTCAGTTCTGAACCGAAGTAGCCATGATATAAGAAGAACGTTTCTATACTTTAATGTAAAGTAAAGAAGTAAAGCTATCCCTGTACCAGGCCCTGAAGGCCCATAGGGTTGTGAGACGATGAGGGTCCCACATTATCTAGACAATCGGCTCAAAGATGGCGGTAAGGTTGTCAGCCGCACTTTACTCCCCAGGAAAATTATTTAATTAATTCCTGGTACTCATTTCTGTTAGAGGCTGAGTCAACCAGGGCCGTAGTGCGGCTGGAAGGATTAGGTCAATTGAAAAAAATCCAATCACCTCATCGGGACTTGAACCCGCGACCTTCCGGCTTGTAGCATAGCCCCTCAACCAACTACGCTACCGCGTTCTTTAACAACATGTACAACTCTTATTCAAGGCATTTTTCTTAGCAGGTGACTATTTTAAATTCTTTGACTTTAGTCCGTAAGCGAACTACACCGACGGAGCGACCGCCGCTTGCCGGCGAATCTGTGGTCTAGTAGTCAGAGTTCCTGGCTACAGATCCAGTGGTCCGGGCTCGATTCCCGGAGCTACCAGATTTTCTGAGAAGTAGTGGGTCTGGAACGGGGTTCACTCAGCCTTGTGAGGATAACTGAGGAGCTACCTGAACGGAAAAGTAGCGGCTCCGGTCTAGAAAACTGAGATTAACGGCCGTGGGGATAATTTGCGCTGACCACGCGACACCCTCCATCCGCTAAAGTTGGTAGGTGACTAAGTTACTTAGCGATATAGGTACCAAGTCCAAAGATGCAGGTCTACTTAGGATTTCAAGTAAAGCTGACTTTAAGGCGCGGATTAATTCCAACAGAGAAGTGATAAGTTTGTGGAATTCTGAACAATTAGTAAGGAGTACATCTAAGTAAAAATAAATAAATAAATGAAAAAGAAAGTACTTACCAATGTGAGAAGGACACTGGGATTGTATTTCTTCAGCACACTGACAATCTGTAAAACAAAAAAGAAATCTGTAATTGAGGTTCTAGAAGGAAATAGAACGGTGAAAGTCACGACAAAAGAAATTCCTCTAAATAGGATCAATTTACTGTAAAGTTGTATAAGAGACAATTACTTGCTTTTAAGCATCTCATGATTCTTCTAGTTTAGAAATTCATTGGAACAAATTATCAGTTCCTGCTACAAGCCGGAAGGTCGCGGGTTCAAGTCCCAATGAGGTCACTGGGTTCTTTCAGTTGACCTAATCCTTCCAGCCGCACTATGGCCCTGGGGTTTACTCAGCCTCTAACAGAAACGAGTACCAGGAATTAATTAAATAATTTTCCTGGGGAGTAAAGCGCGGCCGGCGCGTAAGGCTGACAACCTTACCGCCATCTTTGAGCCAATTGTCTAGATAATGTGAGACCCTCAACGTCTCACAACCCTATGGGCCTTCACGGCCTGGTACAGGGATAGCTTTACTTTTTAGTCTTTCGATGACAACAGGGTCGCTTCTAGCTTTGGCACAGTTACGTTCTGATCACAATGCACTGTTTCGTGTTTGAAGCAGACCTACTTCTCCACTGCCAGCGACTGCAACTGTGCGCGGTGAGAATGAGGAAGCGCGGCTAATGAGACGGATAAGGTCCTAGAGATTGGGGTTGTATTATCAACTCAAGTCAAATGGTGATTAGGTTAATAGATGTGTCTATCGTTCTTGCACTGAAGTCGTCTTATATTTCTCCATTTCTTGTCGGTATCATTGCTCGCTGCTTTACGGCACACAAGGTCTTAGACCGTTCAAACCCTATATTGGAATCGTGGGTTCGAATCCAGTTCGTGGAATCCTGGCCTGGCCGCTTTACCCCCGGGGAAAACCGTACCTTACGTAAGCATTTACTGATTCTGGCTCTGTTCTTCAACCTCGGTACTAGATGGTGAGCAGTCAGCTTTACGGCCTAGCTGCTTTACCCCCGGGGAAAACCGTACCTTACGTAAGCATTTACTGATTCTGGCTCTGAATAGTTTGGAAATTATCTCTGTCACGTCTTGCAGTGACCTGGTAAAGAGCGACTTAATTATAATCTAAGTCACCGCGATATTTAGACTCTTCCCTAAGTTAAAGTTCATGGGGTAAGGCAGATATGAAGGATTAAAAACACATGGTTTCTGCACCAGTAACGTAACTGATTTGCTAATACGTTTCTATTCATTGTCTTACCATAAATATCGACATGAAAGTAATGTTTCGGTCACGCCATGTAAGGTTAGGTCACGCTACCTACTACTGGATCTGAAAAAACTTTACAATGTCGTCACAACTTCGAGGCCTACTGAAAAGAATTAACTCAGATCAAGGTCTAAATAAATAAACAAAGTGAAGTTATTTCTCTGCATAATTAAGGAAAGCACTGCGAGATTTCGTTGTCAGACATCCTAATTTAGTTCATCACTCCAATTAGGAGATTGAGTTGCGTAGGCACATAAAAGAAGAGGCGAAATTATTGATTTATTTTATCTTTATCTTAAGTGTTAAATACATCAAATCGGGACGATAAGAGTTTTAAGCTAAACAGTAACAATCGTTTCCACACTCCATTCACGTTTCTTGGTGGTGTTGCCAGATTCTAAATTCGCTACACATTTCCATGATGTACTACTCTGTTGCTGATTCTGGTTTCGTGTTATGCTTATACATTTGGAACAGGTTTATTTCCAGACCAATTTCTTTGAGGGCATTTCCGCATTCTTCTGACATTTTTATCCGTACCCAGTAAGCATCAATCTGAGTTATGTCAGTCATTTGTAGCTCTTCCTTGGTCTACAGAAATGTGTGTTTGTATACAGTGTAGGCCAACAGGTGAGGTAAAAGGTAAAGTTGTCTCTGTGCTTAATTAGCCTAACCATCACGTCATAAAGAAGCATGGAGGTTTGCAGGTACAGCTCCAAGCATTCTTCGCTTTAGCCTCTGGAAGAACACACCCAGGACCCATTTTAGAGGAGGCTGTGTGGGTTCCAGATTCCGGTTGTGGAGAAATGCAAGGGGCCAAGCAAGAATTATAATTCCGTCAATTACAGTTCGCATATGAAGAGCTGAAGAATAATCAATCGATAATTTTGTTGCATACAAATTAAACTAATAATCCACAAAGCAATCTTCTGCATCTGACGGGACTTGCAGCCCGAATCCCTGGTTGTCCAGTCTGTAGCACAGTCAATATATGACTAAGTTTTCGCAGCAAATTTTTTTCCCCTTGGCACTACAGCCCCAGTGGGCCTTGGCCTACCTCCATGAACTTCGTTCACTTCGGTTTTTCTCGATCTTACACATTCGGTAGGACTCCTTGGGCGGGTGATCAGCTCGTCGCAAGGCCTCTACCTGTACACAAACACAGAAAAACGCACACACACAAACTAAACATCCATGTCCTGAGCGGGATTCGAACCCATTATCCCGGTTTCCAAGCGAGCGAAGACAGTACATGCCTTAGACCGCTCGGCTACCGTGACCGGCTTTCGCAGCAAATAGTAGTGCAACAATTACAAGATAATGGGGATAAAACATCCCTTCTTTAAGCTTATCGTGAACTGGGAATACGCCCACTCAATAGGGCGTTGTAAACGTTTGATAGCATACAGCATTTTCACAATAAATGATTTTTAGTTCCAAGCTTGAGGATTACTCAATTTCGGCTGTCCACGGTTGCTTATTCAATATGTTCGCATCCTCCTTCCGTATCTGGAGGTCGTCGTCAACTTCGAGAAAACTAGGATAATAGCAATAACAATAATAACTTCTTCGTGAACACTCTTCACGGTCAACTAGTCAGGGATTCTCCAGGAAAATTCGTCTGCAAAGGAAGAGTTATACGGCCAGCGTCATCCGCCAAAATGTCCCCAATATCTTATCGTAAATACAACATTCCATTCGTATTGTATTCCTATCTGATCTACAATTCATTTTCAAGAAACCCATAAATATAAATATTTTGACAATCATCCTATCTTTTCATTTCTTGTTGTGTCGCAACCTAACATCAGGTGACGAAGGTAAACAAAAACCTACACAGTACATTATCACCCTGTCTTAGTCGATACGAAGAACATATTCACGTGACAGGGCGGGGCTTGTGATTTTACAACTTACAGTGACGATAAGACGTTATAAAAATAAATATGAACCAAACTGTAGAGACAACCTCTGTTATATGGTGCCGCAGTATCCCTTCACTATCCCCCATCGTTTGTTGAATTCGGCATCGATTTCTCTTGATTTTATATCGATAAATGGTGGGGTCACAAGATTCATGGGACTGCAAGGTCGTGATTGTGAAGCAGCGCCCATTTTGGAATGCCATCCAGCTGCTTCTCCAGAGGGGCTGAGAGATTAACACACAGATCCCTGATCCCACGCGTCCAGAATGACGTCAGTCTCTTCATGCTTTACTCTAATGAATGGCTTGTCGTTGGGTTACATTGGACCGCTTTAAAATGAAGACACTTACTACACGAATTTCTTTTCGTAAAATGTGAAGTTGTCCCTGCGTTTAACTAAGTAACCACTACGCCATTAGGGCGTATGGGGGAATGGATGTATAGATCCACATTTTCTTGGTGAGTGGTCAGCTTCACGCTCCGGCCGCTTTACCCCGGGAAAAGAGCCCTCGGTACCAATTGGATAGGAGGTTGAGTGGGCCCCAGAGCCGGTCTGGCCGATGTTGAGAAGAGAAAATTCCGAATCAACCGGGAGTCGAACTCCAGCCCGTAGTTAGTCGCTATACCGACTATGCTATCTTGTACGAAATGTTATCAATTACATGGATTTTTGTGTTATACAGAACTGAACCCTGAATAAGCATCTGAAATGAGAACAAATCTGGAGTGTTGAGGAAAGAAGGAAGGTTGTGGCCCGAAACGCCCGCAGCAATACAGACACATTTCGTTCGTAGCTATGACTCACTTTCCATGTTTATACTTATGTAGTGCACAAGTTAGCAGACAATTGGTCCCACTGCAGATAACGATAGAGATATCAAGAGATCGTCCAAGAACAGGTAGGTCACAAGAAACGTCACTAAAACACAAGAGACACTTGTTCGAAATCATGGAACATTCAGAACTGAATGTGACCTTTCGCAGTCACATGTTTGTCGAATCCCGAACAAAGGCCTGCGAATGTGACCGTTACCATGTAGAAATTGCTCTGTGCGATAGAAACATGTGCTGTGATGCAACATTTTCCTGGAAATCAAGAACTGGGAACATAATATTCATAAATTAACAATATTCAGTGACGAGGCAACTTCTCATACTAGTTCAGTATAATTATTATTTTTATCAACACGAAAATATTATCTTAACAAAAACATATCTCAAATTATAGCCTATTATTTCAGCGCTGTTTTCATAAAACTAAACAAGAGAACTGCGCGCAAACATCTATAAATTGAGGCGAATTTGATTCTGTAACACTTAGGACGTACTTGTCACTTATGACCTCTACTATGAAGGTCAACAGCGGATGACAGGGTGAATATAACTTATGAACTGATAGGACAGTAAAGAAGTGTCATGTTTGTAAAACTATAGAAACACTGACCTAGGGAGTCTAGTTAATATGAATATCTCCAGTAGAAGATACTACCTTGAAACTACCAATGTCTTAGTCCTTTAAGGTTGTCACTATAGAGGGAGTTTGGTATGGTGAACTGATTTACTGACCGCTTATAAGTATTACTTGGAACTACGAGCACTTGCAACGCCATCGCTGATCTATACTTCACAAATCACCACAGCACCTGCTAACCCGTTTACAGCCTGATATGTCTTCACCAGCCGTTCCCTGGCAACGGCTTTAATAGTCAAGATTATTCAGCTTCACGCACTTAGGTCCTCGTCAGGCCGCCTGTCAACTCAATTACCGCGCCATCTCTTCTCAGTCTCCCTTGGAGAGCTCAACTGAACTGGTTGCCTCAGTTCTCTTCTGTATAACCCCTCGGCGCGGATCGCGC